CGGTCTGAAACAAGCTCCAAGGGCTTGGAATCTGAAGACTAATTCATTTTTCAAGCATCTGGGATTCAAAAATTATGAAATGGAGCATGATGTGCATGTTCAACATACCTCTGATGGTAATGTGATTCTGGTGTGTCTTTATATGGATTCTATACTTCTGACAAGTAGTTGTACTTCTGAGATAAACAAGTCCAAGAAGATGTTGATGAATGCATTTGATATGATTGACCTTGGAAATATGATATATTTTCAAGGGATGGATATTTTACATTCTAAGAAGGGGATTATTATGCACCAACTGAAGTATGAACTTGAGCTACTAAAGAGATTTGAGCTAATGAATTATAAGTCAGTGTCGTACCTCGAAAAATACGATCCTCGCGATGGACGCGGAAAATACTGTTCGAAACAGAGTCGCCACCGAACTTTATTCACTCCAAAGATGGAATAGAAAAATATCGATAAAACCTTTAAAGAGATAAGAACATGGTCATCGCAACCAATATTCTAAGTTTGGGAGTCGATTACATGAGGGGAAGGTATTAGCACCCCTCATGTCCGTTGTACTCAACGGGAACCTCTTGATTGATTCGAGAGTAAAGTTAACTACGCTTGTTTGTTTTCTTCTAAGGTTTCTCCTATAGAGAGAATGGGTGGTTTTAAGATAGGGTGCTCGCCAAGGATTGGGGCCCTTGTGCCTATGTATCTTCACTTGTAAGAAGTGGAAAATCAGAGCATTCGTAGTTCAGGGACTACGGGAAAAAGAGGGGAATGTGCTCGCCAAGATCATCGCAATCTTGTGCCTACGTATCTTACATTCAAGAGGGAATGAAGAATCAGAGAAGCCGTAGTTCAGCTAACTACAGTAAAAGGTTGGTAAACGAATGAGTGTTTAGGTCGCATTCTAACTGCTAAACATTGGCTTGTCTGCTCGCTAGGGGAGGCTGAAGCGCTAGTTTGTTATGCGCGGAAGAAGGGACTAAACAATGTTCTTTGAGGAGAGTTGTTTGAGTTGTAAGGATCGCGCGAGGGCGAGGAATTAGTGTTAGGAGAAAGTTTCAATCGCACGGGGGTGAGAAAAGAGAGTCGTGTTGGATAGGTTTAAGGTTTTGATCGCACGGGGGTGAAGAAGATAAGGTTGGTTAGATATTTTGAAGGAGAATGACGACTACTCGATAAACGAGACGTCAGTCTCGCAACCAATTAGTCGGGATATCGTTGGAATACTAGATCCCCAAAACACCTTTTTCATTCGACTAACTTCGAAATATATGTTCGATGGGCGGTTTAGATGCGATCACACGAGGGTGAGAGACGAGGTTAGACGGGTTGTATGTTAGGAGGAATGACGAATATTCGATAATCGAGACGTCGACCTCGTAACCAAGTAATCGGGATATCATTGAAATGCTAGATCCTAACGACATCTTTTTCATTCCATTAATTATGAAATATGTTTGTTGGACAATGAATACTTGTACAAATAATTAAGAGAAAGTGTCTTAGGAACGAAAGTTCGAATGACACACTATGTAAGGCGTACGCCTCAATAGTTGTCACTCAAGAATTCAAGGAGTGCAAGACTTCAAGAACTCAATTCTTTCATAATTTAATTAAGAAAATAATTTGAATAGGTTAGCGTACTCGAATCTAGACGCGCTAGGTATTCTAAAAATGTAAGATCAAAAGGATCACAACTCAAGGTGTGCACCTTGAGAGCAATCCTTCGAGAACTCAAGAAGTGCTAGACCTCAAGAGAATAGTTTGTTTTAAAGAAAAATACTCGAGGTGAGTCGAGTTTGAATTTAAGTTTTAAACGTGTGCACTAGCAAAGTGGGCTAGTCTTCTAAGTGACCAACTAGAAATAATTGATCAAATAGGTGTCACTGTAAGGAAGCCCAGGATTAAGCTTTAAAATGTTGTGTATGGTGATCGAAGGTAGAAGATAATTTAACTAATCGAGAATTTATTTTTGAAAAGGATTTAAAGGTTTCGAAAATAATTGAGCATTTTAAAAACGAACGATGAAACAACCGCAACTCAAGGCGTACGCCTTGAGAGTAGTCCCTCGGAAATTCAAGGAAGGTGAGATCCAAGAATTCAATTGTTTTGAAATTTTTTTTTAGGAAAATAGTTTAATTTAATTAAGAAAAATAATTTTAATTTTCATATATAAAATTATTAATCAATTGTAAAAATTTTTTGAAAAAAAGCTAGTTATAATTAATTGTTTTTGAGAAAAGTTTAATGTCTTAAAAAAAGATTTTAACTTAATTAATAAAGTATATTTTCTAATATTTAAAATATTATTTAATAATAATTTTGAAATGTATTTTTTAAAAGAATAGTTTGAATTTTCTTATAATAATATCTAAAAGTAATTAAAAATATCTTTAAGAAATTTCAATTAATTTAAGTGAAAAAAAACGATTTGAAAACCGAAAGACGGAACACCGCAACTCAAGGGCGTGCGCCTCGAGAGCGGTTGTTCAAGGACTCAAAGGATGCTAGACCCCAAGAGCTCACTACTTTCGATAAATTAATTTAGAAAAGACATTTTAAAAAAATAGATTGTATTAAAATATTTAAAATCTAATTAAGACTAGAAAATTTGACATTAGTGAAAAGTCATAATTAACTATTTTAATAATCTAATTAGTATAAGATTGATTATCAATTAAAATAATAATAATCCCTATCATTAACCATTAGTTATTCTAAATTAAATCAAATAGCTCCCTAAATTATATTTATACCAAAACTACAAACATTGAACTTTATAATCTCATAGCTTGCTATTAGCCCCCATTGCCGAAAAAACGTAAGCAACATGGCAAACCGCACCGCAGCAAATGGTTAAAAAAAACTCACAGTAATACTTTGTTATAGTGCTATTTTAACTGTCAAATAAGATGTACACTATTTTATATGATGCACGTATTAAAATACATCCCCACTAACATTTAAAAATGATATAGATATACTAATACCAACATATACTATTCAAAACCATAATCTAAAGCCAAATATATGTTACAGTATATACAAATGCACACCAACATGATGCAACAATATACAGGATGCATAAATAAGTTAGAAAATTCAGCAAAAATCAAATCCAGAATTGGTATTATGTTACATTATATACAAGTGTACACCAACATGATTTCTAGATTGTAGCGACGCAATGGGAAGGAAACTAAAATCAAATATGAAATGAAACAGAATACGTAACAGAATCAGAACTTTTCTTTAAAAAAAAAAACTACCACCGCGAGCTGATATGAACTAAATCTACATAACCAAATTGAAATCTCATACAAAACTTACATCATTGTTGTCTAAACGTCACACTTGCTAACAATATGCCGCGTAAATCCCAACAATAACAACCATTCTTAATAGTAGCTAAACCAATGCAATGTAGCAGCACATAAATATTATCAAGAAGTCAAAACCGAAATGTATACAAAACTGTGCTATCACATAAATACTCATTAGCAACATCAAAACTTTGTGTCAAGACAAAAAAAAACCAACGAAAACATCGATAACCTGCAGATTAAATTTAAGTATAACTCAAATAAACGGAGTTGGTCCAACCTGATGTCTTAAGCGAGACATGCTATCAAATCCTCCATGTCGGTGTCGGCGTCGTATCTGCTACACAAATCGCTGCAGCTTGCAAAAAGGACGCGGAGTCGTTGCCGGAGTTGTCGCAACTCAGCAACGTTGACAATGAAGAGAGGTTAATCTCGATTGAGACGTAGGTTTTCGCCGCTACAAACTGCTCTGTTGTTGATGAACCGCTGTTGTACCGCAAATTGAGACAAAATGAATGAGAAATTCCACTGCAGCTGGCTCTGCTTGTTGTTGCAGAGTTATTGTTGATGCTGGACTTGAAACAGAACAAGGTGCTGCCGAGTTTGCATCGTATTTGAAACCGACAAAGACAAAGCTTGATTGAAAACGCCTTGTTTTTGTATCCCTAGAACTTTGAGCGGCTCGACGTGTATGCGCAATGGTTGTTGTCGTCCTCGAACCTCGACACGCAGACATTCAGAGGTCTTGCAGCCTAGTAAGACTGATGCTATCGCGTGCGGTGTCATTGCTTCCAAGATCAAACCATTGTCTCCAAACTTGTGGGTTGAAAACGAACTGTTGTTGAAGTTCCTGGCGTAAAGGTTGGACAATCACAACGCCTTTGGCTCTCGCTTCGTGTTGTTATTGCTGAACATCTATGCGACTAGTCATTAATCAGCCCTCAACCTGTACAGAAGTGGACACCAACAAACAAAGCAGCAAACAAACATAATGAAAAAGGAAGAAAACAACTAAGTTAGAGATGCAATTTTTTTACCATGTTGGTAAACTATAAACTCCTCGCATAATCGAAATTCCGGCGATGGCGCAACCTGCATAAAATCAACAGTCTGGCAGCAGTTGAGATATATCGTAGATTTGATCTTTGAAACCTCGAGAGAGCATTTCATCAGCCTCATCCAACACAAACATCTTGATGTAATCTGGCCTAAGTGACTGTCTGCACAGCACGTCAAATACACGACCAGGGGTACCAACAACAACGTGAACTCCACTTGAAAGAATACGTTGGTCCTCACGAACACTGGTCCCTCCCATACAAGCATGCACCTTCACACCTAGATAATCTCCAAGTGCCCGCATAACCTTCTCAATCTACTAAGCAAGCTCGCGAGTTGGTGTTCTTGCATTTGAAACCTGTACAGAAACAAAACAAAACCAAACAACAAACACGTAAATATCGTCGCCGCTGGGACACGACACAACTTTGTTATGGCCACGAGGTGGTAAACTGCGGACGAGGTGCTCTTGCACTGCATAATCGATTTGTTATCGCAGGAGCTTGTCGGAAAAACAGTGGACTAGTTGTAGGTGAGAGATTCCCTGTTGACGGTATTGACGTCGCGCTGCTGGACCTTGGAGACTCTAACATAACTTCCGTTATTTATACTCCAATATCATATCTCACCACTATCACCATCACAAGAGCAGATAAGATCATCTTTATCGCACTGATGCATCTGATAAGCTAGTTCTCTTGTATGGCAAAGAACAAGTGCGACAACCTGACCAGGAACAGGGTCAATTTGCTGAAGTGTTGACAGAACAAAAACAACAGTCTTTCCCATGCCAGATTTTGCTTGGCAGATGACATCCATTCCCAAAATTGCTTGAGGGATGCATTCGTGTTGCACTTCTGAAGGATGCTCAAATCCTGAATCTACAATGGCTCGAAGAAGCTCTGGTTTCAACAGGAAGTCTCGAAATCCCGAACTATGGATGCCAACGTAGCCCTTCTTGACGGTTTTGGTAGTTGGTTTAGCAGAATCAAGAGCCTTTTCATCCTCCTCTTCATAGTCGATAAGCTCTTCCTCGTAAACCTCAGTTTCTTTCAATTCACCCATTTTCTTTGTTTTCTTTGAAAGCGCGAAGAACTAGCGGCTTCTTCTCCTCGGAAATGAAAACCCTAGATCTGATTTTTGGGTTTTAGGAAATGAAATGGAGCAGCAGAGATTGGAGCTGTGGCGGAAACAAATAGCGTGTGCGGTTTGTTTAATGGACTGAAATGCTCTTTTAATTTCAAGTTTTGAAAAAAAATCATTCAGCTTGCACTTTTTGCCGAATCGGACCCAAAACCATATTCATGGTTGAAGGGTTTTCAATGTTGCGTCGGGATAGGAAAAGGGAGATGTCATAGTGATGGAATTGCGGTGGATTTGTGATTGGGGAAGGTTATTGACAGCTGGGGGTAAAGTTGGAGAGAGGAAATGATGGTTGCCATAGGGTTTGGCGGCCGGTCATTGTGTGTTTTTGTGAACATTAATCCCCATCCCCGTTTCTTGATCAATTTTCTTTTCTTATAACAAGAAACATATCCAATTCTCAGCATAGGCCCAATGGGCCTCGTCCATTTCCTCTTCTGATTCCTCTCTCTTTTTTTTTTTTTAATTTCTTCTTTTTTTTTATAAATAAATTCTGTTTCTGTTTGCTAACTTAATTAATATTAAAAAAAAAATCTAATTATAATCTTTTAAATAAGGTTCTAATTTAATTACTACTGAAAAGAATCTAATCCTATTTCTAATTAAAAAATCTATTCTAATTAATTAATATTACAAATATATTACATTATTAAAAATAAAAGCATAACGATTAATAAGTAAAAATGCCACGTGTCTAAGACTTATTGGGCAACAAGGTGAAAATGCCTGTTTTTGCTGAAAATTACGCTACGCTGTATATGCGAGGTAAATTAGAAACAAAATCGGGCAACTAAAAATTTTGAAAAAAGGTAGGACAAATTTGGGGTATGACAGTCAGCAGTCACACCTATTGAGATAAATCATAAGCTGGAATATGATTCTGATGGTGAGGATGTAGATGCTACAAATTTCAAATAGTTGGTTGAATGTCTGAGATATATGTGTAACACTAGGCCTGACATATATTCAGTTGGAATGATGAGTAGATTTATGAGTAAACCAAAGTGGTCACATTACCAAGTTGCAGTCAGAATTTCGATATATGTAAAAGGGACTTTGATGCATGGAATTTTGTTTCCATCTGGAGTCAAATGATGCTGAGCTAGTATGCTGCCCAGACTCTGATTGATGTGGTAACATAATAGAAAAATGAAGCACTACAAGATACATGTTTATATATAACTGATGCTTTGTCAGCTTGACAGGCTGTCTGGTTGATGAATTTGCTGTAGGAACTAAAGTTTAAGGCGAGTAAACCAGACAGATTGATGTTTGACAACAAATATGCCATTAGTCTTTCTAACAACAAATATGCCATTGCTACATAGAATAAACAAGCACATTGATACTAAGTACATTTTTTGTACAATCAAGTTCTGAATGGAGTACTTGAGGTTGCTCATGTCAGCACTGAGAAACAACTTGTAGATGTTCTAACCAAGATGATCAAAACTGAAAACTTCATCAATTAGAGGGATGAAATTGTTGTTGTTAATTTTAAACTTAAATATGAATTAAGGGATGATATTGAATGTAATTCAACATTCAAGAATTAGTTTAATTTTGAGTTTCATTTGCATTTACCTTTGCATATGCATTTGAATGCATTTGGTTTGGATTTGAATTTGGGTCATTATATATAAATCCAAATTGAGTTGCATTTGTAATAGATTTTGAGATTTTGCAATTTGAGTTAGTTAGTTACGCAACTCTCTCTCTCTCTCTCTCTCTCTCTCTCTCTCTCTCTCTCTCTCTCTCTCTCTCTCTCTCTCTCTCTCTCTCTCTCTCTCTCTCTGTGTGTGTGTGTGTGTGTGTGTGTGCGCGCGCGCGCGCAACTGTTATTCATCTTTTTCATTCTTGTGCGTTGTTAATAGAGGTTCATTGTTGAATATCAACAAGTGCTTTGTGTCGTTCTCATGTGACCCTTTTAACGTCTATTTGTGTGTATTTCCCTCACCTATACAATATTCTCTGGGAAAAACCACCACCATCTTTGTCTCAAGAATAACATAAAGCAAGCAAACCGTAACTTTGTAGAATTAGTATCGAAAGAGGTGGAGTTAGTTCATCCGAAGGCATAATAAAATTAATCGAAAGAGAGATTAGTACATTAGAATTGATTAAGTCATAAGAGAGATGATGAAGTTTAAACAATCACAATAAAATAGATCCATAAACATTTGGTATTTTTAAAATAGAAGAAAAAAATAATAGGTTTTTTTTTTTATGGTTACATTTTTTTTTCAATTTAAACATAATTTATATATAATATTTATATAATATTAAAATGATAAGATTACCCGCTATTATAAATAGGGAAATGTTAACCAGTGTCTTCAGAGCACTTTTTAAAACTTTAAATAGTAAATTTTTATAAAAGTATGTTCAATGTGTAATAATGTGCATTGGAAATTAAAATGTTTGAATTTTTTAAAGAATAATTTTTTAATATAAAATGTTTAAATAGTGCCCTGAGAGCACCGGTTAGAAAGACCTTATAAATAATAGACAATTTTACCAAAGTGGTCAAAAGACGTCTTGCCTAGACTAAACACCCCTAAGGTAGTAGTTATCAATTTTGACAAAATTTTTAATTACTTAAATTATGATATTATCGTGGTTATTTGCTTCGAAGAATTTGATAACTTAATTACATTTTTCTTTTGTTGTCTATAATAAGAGCTATTGTATTTTCTTTTGTTTTCTATATTTAAGTATCATTCGACAACAACCTACTTAAAAAATCATTAATTAACAAAATAATTTAAATTTCAAAAAAAAAAATGTCATTTGAGTTTTTAGTAATAAATTAAATAAAATAAAAATTACCAATTAAAAAATGTAAAAAAATAATATTATGTCACTTCTATTCAAAGTATTGAAAATTTTCATTAAATAAAAATTAATTATTTAACATTTCAACATTTGTTTTTATAATTTAATAAAAACAAGTGAAGTAGTTAGTAGAATTGTGTGAAGATAATCAATTGTTTCAGAATTCAATAACATTTTTTTTTTATTTCTCAAAAGTATAATATAATAGTGATAAATAAGTTAATGATATTTTTCTTGACCAAAAAAGTTAATAATATTTTTTTAATAAAAGAGATTAATTGGAATAAAATGTCAGGATAAAATTATTTTACACTTTCGTTCAATTAGAATGAATTATTTTGACACATAATTATGTAATTAAAAATAAAAATATATAAATTATAATTAAATTATTTTAATAACTATTTTTTCAAATTTCTCTTCTCATGTGTCAAAATAATTCATTCTAATGCCAGTTTAAAATATCTCTTAATAAAAATATAATACATATAAAAATTAATTTATAAAAATCACAATTACATAGTCAAATAAATATTTTATTAAATAAAATTAACTATAATTTAAAATTTTCTAAATATAATAACAACATTTTAAAAAAAATCTAAAATCACTAAATAAGATAGATTAAAACACTTATAGAAATTGCATCTCAACAAATATAAATATGATTTTCTGATTTGATCAAATCACAACTCAATCAAAATAATTTGAAAATTTTAAATATATTTACATAAAAAAACAAATTTTATTTAAAATTAGGAATCTAAAACGTCGCAAGAATCTTGTACACACCATCATTCTGTTTCTTGACTCACCCTGTTCTCACTCCAAATATAAATAACATCCTCAATCAAAGCGTTGTTCTGGTGGTCCCTCTTCCCTTCTTTTGAGACTAGAGAGAGAAAAAGCAACGCATAAAAACTGAAGAGAGTGAAAGTGTTACACTGGTGTATGTACTTTTGAGTTTTGAGAATGCAACTCTACTAAACAAAACACTAAAACCACATTTAAGGTTTTTTCTAACTCTTCCTTAATTCTCTCATATTTTGTTTTTCTCGTACCTGGTCGCAAGTTCCATTCTTTTCAATTTTCATTCACCATATTACGCATAGTTACGCATAACCCTTTTCTCATTGCTCAATTTTCTCTCCCGTTTTGCATATTCCCTTTCATTTAGGATTCGTTCTTCAAAAGGGTTTGTTTCTTTCTTATAATTATCTCAAATTCTTGTTAAAGTTTCCACCTTTTGTTCTGTTCTGTTTCTGAGTTTTGAGGTTCACTTGGTTCTGTGTAGGTTTTGTGGCTTCAAAGGTGGAAGCTTTTTATCTTTTGAGAAAATGGGGTTTTCGAATTCCGAGTTGCATGTGCGAATTTTTGTTACCTCCATGCTCGTGATTCTAATGGGAACTTTCTCTGTTGCAGACACTGACCCTGTTGATGGTATTGTATATATATGCTTCTCATTCTTTGTTTTCTGCTTTTCCTATGAGAGGCTATGGCTAATCTCAGTGTCTGAAATTGTTTAAATGCTATGCATGTTTTAGTTTATGGCTAATCTCAGTGTAATGGTCACAGTTGCAGCAATCAATAGTCTATATGTTGCTATGGAGTCACCGCCTCTTCTAGGGTGGAAGCCTGAGGGAGGGGATCCATGTTTAGACCTTTGGCAAGGTGTGGAGTGTGTCTTCTCCAACATAACTGCCATGTATAGTCAATTTACCCTTTCTTGAATTTTACTTCGATAATATATTGTGTTATTGTTTTCGGAATTGGTTTCGAATGGTAATGATACGATTACGATTGGTAAGACTCGTTATAATTTATATTTGGGTTGACAGACGGCTCGGAGGCTTCAATTTGGGTGGGGAGCTTGGCAGTAATTTGGATTTTCCATCCATTATAGAAATGTAAGTGTAGATATTCAAGATTTTAGTACATGTTGCTTTTTCTTATTCAGAATCACTAAATTCCAAATTATTGTTGTCCAATGTGATTTAAAAATGTGTTGATCTGTCATATTGCACTTGTTTCCTTAGTAACCATTGAAATAACGAAGCTCCTATGAAGTAATGAAGTAATGACGCTGATACCTCGACACGTAATAATTTGAGAAAGTGAAATATTTGATATAACTACATATGTCAGTGTCGTGCGTTCGTGCTGGTGTCAGGACATTAACACGTGTTCAACGTACACGCCTTCAATCTGAAGTGTCCGTAGTACTACATAGATATGCTCTTATTTGCCCAAAGCCATTGGTAATTGTAACTATATTATTGCTACTAGAAAGTAGAAATCTCATGGCGCTTTCTGTTTTACATTGCGCAGTGATCTTAGCAACAACCACATTGGAGGAACCATTCCATTCACTTTACCACCTACTCTTACGAGCTTGTATGTTACCGTTATAATCTCTAATTCATGATTTTCTAGTTCTATTTAGTAAAACGTCTGTTGCCAGATTTATATGTGTTGCGTAAACTTTTTCTTTTCTTTCCCTCCTTTTAACATGCAGGTCTCTCGCAAGAAATCGGTTAAATGGAAGCATTCCCGATGCCTTATCCTTATTATCTCAATTGGCAAACTTGTGAGTGCAAAAATATTCCCGGCCACATTGATAATTTTTGGCCGATAACAACTTGACCGATACTTCATACACTACTTATGAAACTCTATTGTGCAATGATGCAGGGATTTGGCCGATAACAACTTGACCGGCCAGCTGCCTTCCTCACTGGGGAGTTTATCATCTCTTACATCATTGTAAGCAAATTTTCTTGCTAAGAATAGATTCTGTTTTCCTAATTTTTCTACGAGGATTTGTTATTGTTTATTTATCAATTTTCATTTGCAGACGGTTGCAGAACAATCAACTTGGAGGGACCCTTTTAGTTTTGCAGGACCTTCCTCTTCAAGAATTGTACAATTCTTACTATCGAAATAATTCTTACAAATATGTATTTAAATATTATCGATATCCTACAACAATGCATAGGAAGTAGAAATATTTAAATTCGTGAATTTATTATTTTGTAGGAATATCGAGAATAATTTATTCTCTGGGCCAATTCCTCCGAACGTGTCTAACATCCCTAATTTGAAGTAAGTCATGGGTTCAACGGAATTTTCATTTTTCTATTTTGTTGTCTTTTCTGGTTCACGTACGATCTTTTCAAAATCTTTCATCATTCCAGTTAACATAGTAGCATATTCGTTGCAGAAAAGACGGGAATCCGTTTAATACTACTATTATTCCGACACTTCCTGCTTTAGCCCCCTCACCTGTAGTTACCGGTCTATCTCCCGAAGAATCACCTTGGCATGTGGTTTACAGTCCTTCTGACTTCCCATCACCGGCGCCTAGAAATGTTAAGAAGTCTTTCCTAGCTAAGCACGGCTTTTGGATTGCCGGTGCCGGTATATTAATATTTGTCGCTTTGGGAATTTGTGTTTGTACGGTGTGGTGCTGTAAGAGAAAGCCGAAAGATAAAAACTCTCAGAAGCTTGATGTGGAGGCTTTTCCAAATACTTTGCACAAACCTACTCACAGTGACGCGGCTGAGAAAACATCGCGTTTCAATGAAGTTCCTAATAGAAGAACGAATTCGGTTCCAAAGGTTCAGGATGAACAAGAAGGATATGTCAACACAGTAACTGCAACTTCGGAATACAATAATGTTTCCAAACCTTCACTTCTGCAGCCACCACCGCATCCTCTGCCAATCATTCCCGTTGAGAAGGTCACCGTCAATTCTGCGGTAACTACCAAAGCCGCTGAAAGAAAAATGATGACAAGTTCCGTCAAAATGTATACCGTTGCATCACTTCAGCAATATACAAATAGCTTTTCCCAAGAAAATCTTATCGGTGAAGGCACTCTTGGATCTGTTTATAGAGCCAAGCTCCCTGATGGAAAGGTAGTATTCGCCCGGTTAATAAGCAATATACCGCTTTATAATTCTCAAATCTCTCTGTACAATCGATAACCTTTTCCCGGTTTCATTCAGTTTCTTGGCGCTTCACATGCTTATATCTTTTGAATTATCTCTGTAGCTATTGGCGGTGAAGAAACTCGACACTAGAGCTTTCAAGGACCAAACCGATGAACAGTTTCTTCAATTGGTATCTAGCATCTCAAAAATCCAGCATGTCAATATTGCAAAGCTCGTGGGCTACTGTGCTGAGTATAACCAACGATTACTTATATACGAGTATTGTAATAACGGAACCCTGCAAGATGCACTTCACGGTGACGACGAACATTGTATTAAATTTCCATGGAATGAACGCATTAAGATTGCACTCGGTGCTGCAAGGGCTTTAGAGTGAGTTTAGCGATCAACTCAATATCTAATTCTGATCTATATTAACGAAGATTGATTTTTCATTTTATTTTTTCCCGTGGATCAGGTATCTGCATGAGAATTTCCAGCCGCCCATTGTGCATCGTAATTTCAGGTCTGCTAATGTTCTCCTGAACGAAAAGTCGGAAGTGTGTGTCTCTGATTGTGGATTAGGTCATTTGCTATCTTCTGGCGCTGTTGGTCAGGTATCTCTTTAAGCCTTATATCGTTTCATATGTTCTTGGAGTGTTATTGAATGTTACAAAATAAGTGGCCGTAAAAATGCGATACTCGAATGGAAATATCAAGGCCTGATGCATATTATTTTCGATTTTTCCGTTTTTGTTACTTTTCTGACTAACAAACATTACGGTTTCAGTTATCTGGACGCCTCCTCACAGCTTACGGTTACAGTGCTCCAGAATTCGAGTCTGGAAGTTATACGCAGCAAAGTGATGTGTTTAGTTTTGGAGTTGTAATGCTAGAACTTCTCACAGGAAGAAAATCCCACGACAGGTGATCGATCTTATTTTGCAAATTCGTTCATTTTTCATTACTTTTACGGTTCGCCTTGAAGCAAAGCCGTATTTTGCTAAGACAATGTACATATTTACAGGTCACGGCCTCGCGGAGAGCAGTTTTTGGTGAGATGGGCAGTACCTCAACTCCATGACATTGATGCATTATCGAAAATGGTTGACCCTCACTTAAATGGATCGTATTCTATGAAGTCCTTGTCACGTTTTGCAGATATTGTTTCGTCGTGTATTCAGGTAATCTAATTGTGCATCTAGGATCGACATGAATTGTTGAACTGATAAGTAGCATATTGGCTAAACCGAGACTCGAGACACACTTGTTGATGTTTCTGTGTTGCATAATGTGCTAACTTAAGTGTAACACCTTATTGCCTATAATCTACTCGCTTTTCATTCATTTTTATTTTTATTTTCAGCGTGAACCTGAATTCCGGCCAGCTATGTCTGAAATTGTTCAAGATCTCCTTCTAACAATGTAGAAGGACGGATACAGATACGATGAACTCCGTTTCTGAACTTAACCTATCTATTTTTCATCAATTTGGTGTGAGATCTTGATTCATTATGCTAACAAATGTAATTAGTAGCCGGAATGATGTGAGTTAGTTTTATGCATCATTGTTCATTATTGATGCTAGTATGTCAAAGATGGCATGACTCAATTCATGATGATTTTGAGCATGCCATTCATCTTTTGTACAATTGATAGTGTGTTTGAAAAACTTGGACATCCTGGTGGAAGATCACGGAAGGGCAGAAGCTACACATACCAGTTTCTCAAAATTACGATGAAAAAAGTCTTAAACGTGCGGCAGTGGGCCACCGTGTTACCAAATACAGACACATGATTTTGAGCAACTAGAAATCAACAACAATGGTTACCCTTCTTCATAAGATATTGGTCTTTTTAGTCATTTTTATTTTTGACACATTAGTTTGGATTTATTTTTTGATAAATGTAACAATGCTATGTTTTTTGTGTACTTTTAGGTGTATGTTTTATATTTGAGGAAAAAGCTGAAGCACTAAAAAAGACTCATTCTTTACTCTTTCTTGATTTGGATTTTTGTGCTTTTATAAAGATGATTACATGGAGTGTGATTGATAAAAAGGCATCACTTTTATAGATTTTGGTTACTATTTTCCCCACTTCTAATCATAAAGCTGCCATGATGTTTTAATTTATTTTTATAGCTAAAATTTTGGATAAAATTCTAATTATTTTTGGATTTTTTCTTTAACAAATATCGGAATTTTCAGAAATTTTTGAAAAAAAATATTGATTCCTGGTAAAATATTTGAAGAAATACCGTTATTAAAAAAATTAGGTGTATTTTTCTGAATGTTTGAAAACATCCGGTAGTTTATATTTGATAGAAAAAAAATTTAACACTATTGGATTTTTTGAAAAATTTAGTAACCTGTCACACTTAAGAATTTGATAAACTGCAATATTGGTCAAAAAATTCTGAAGTGTTAATTTCTTTTTTCTTATTGAATACGAATTACTAATTTTTTTTTAAAATTCTGGAAAATTATTAAAGATATCATATTTATAAAAAATTTGGTATGTTAAATTTATTTTTTTTAAAAACTGGTAAAAAATTTATACCAGGCTTTTAAAAATACACTATTGGAATTTTGAAATGTTATAGAAAATTCTCAATGAATTATCAGAAATTTTATTGGTATATTTTGATCCAATTTTGTTCATGGACAGTTTTGAATTGACCCAATTGCTCAATTGGTTACCATGTTTATTGCACTTTATATGTTTCTTCAAAACCTTATGTTTCTTCAAAAACTTTATATGTCTCGTCTAGATAATACAATTTTGATATGCCATTAATATAACATGTACCAAATATACACACAAACACATTAATTAAATGAGTGAATCTGAATAGTTAACATCAAATATACATATAAACACATTAATCAAATGAGCGAGTCTGAATAGTGTTCGTCCGTCAGACACACCATATGTATAGTGTTATTTGAATGCATTCTTAATTTAATACTATGTTATTTGTTTATTTGGAAGGAAATTCTTGAGAAAGAAAATACTTTAAGTGTCATAGTTTGAGTGTTAGTATCTAAAGTGCCATATTATCTAGAGTGTCATGTTTATCGAATGATAGTTTCATAAACCTCTAAATCAAGATCATACAATATATTTTCTTAAATTCTCTAAAATTTTTTTTTTCCTTCTTATTAGTAATTGTGTTTTGTTCTATAATTCATTTGTATTTCGACATTCATAAACATTATAATCATATTAAATTATAGGTAATGTACATCTCTATCTTTTATTATAAAATAACAATTTGATTTTTAATCTATTATAGAAGACGTACATATAGTATCATCAAGAACCTTATAAAATGTTTATGGGTTTTTACTTTCGGACATTATGAATGTGTAATGTTATATTTGTGAAAGTCTCAAACAAGGGTGGCTCTAGCATTCCCACCTAAGGGTGATGTTGCTTAGGCAACATCCTCACAAAAATAGGGGACCCGCCCTTGAGATTTATAATGTGTATAATATCGTTGCCTTTCGTTAGTCAGATAAGAAGGAGTCCACCACGATTATCGAATCACAATTATCGAGAGAATAAGTGGTCAACAATATTCCCTAGTCATGAGGGAACGGTTTGTCGCCCCTATGGGTTTCCCAAATCCTAGGCTCAAAAAGCCTATATAAATACTCCTCCCCTAGGGGGAGAATGACAGAACTTAACTCAGACGCTTATACCTAAACACCCAATGCATATACAAAGCCTCTCACCTCACGTGAGCAGTTCCTCTAAACCACCATAAACACCATCGTACAGAACTTCTCGCTGCTGTGGGCAAGCTCTAACCAGCATTATTTATTATACACCTACTAAGGCCTTTGAGTGTCCTTTGTAGGGGTAACATGCAAACACGTACTTTTTGACCAATACAGTGGCACCCACCATAGGGCCCATAGTAAAACTAACATGTGCCACACCTTCTTCATCACCATCACCTTACTCACTGTTACCCTCCACTTCTACACATAACCACTTTAAATTATGGTTAATAGGTGAGTTTCATGCTCTACGCTAGAAGGTACTAATGTTAGTAGTGATGTTGACGCCATAGCGAAGATGTGCACCGTCATGGATGAATTACATTATTATAACGAAAGTTGGAGAATGATGTCCACAACATCAGAAAAATGCCAACAGGAGTCCAATCCCTCATAGGAAATGGAAGTGTTGGATCCTCATCCACTTTCAAACGAGATATGGGGAGCGCCTGTCCCTGAGGGATTCAAGCCTCCCTCTTTGGTCAAGTTTGAGGGGCGTAGTGATCCTTATGAGCCGATCGCCTTTATCAACATATAGATGGTTATCATAGGAGCGACTAAATCACTAAAGTGTAAGTTATTATCTAGAACTTTCAGGGGCGCCTCCATGTAATGGTATGCGAGTCTACCCTGCGCCTCCATTGCTAGTTATGAGGAATTGGTAAAGAAACTCATACACCAGTTCTCCGCTAGCCGTCATAGGAAAATGTCCACCACCAACCTGTTCAACAAACGGCAGGGTCCATCAAAGTCGCTGAGGGACTACCTCACCTGATTAATAAAGCCACCATCAGGTTCATCCCATAAAATCAAGAAATATTTGTGGGGGAATTCCGAAATGGACTCAAGGTGAGACACATCAACGGTGTCTTTCCCGAAATCCAGTGCTCTCATTGGCAGATGTAGTCACTAGAGTAAAATGGTATATAAAGGGTTAGGAGAGCAATGTTAGAAAGAAGGCGTGTGATGTCAATGAGTGTATTCCAGACGCCTAGGGATCACACCACCAAAGGAAGAGTAATTATCCCTCTCTCATAAAATATAAGATTTCATTCAAGAGATTATGCAAGACGACGAAAAGGTTCACACCCTTGAACACTTTCCATGAACAGATCTGGCGTAAGGTTCTTGACCTGTATAATAACTCTACGTCGCGTGCTCTAAAAGCGGATGTAATGGGTCTTGAATTAAGAATATGGTGCAAGTTCCATATAATCAAGGAACACCACACCGAGAATTGTTACCGACTCAAGAAAGAAATCAGGATACTAATCCAGGAGGGACAACTTAAGAAATATGTGAAGGGCGAGTCTTCCTGTAGGTTAGACAAGACCAACTCGCGATGGCGAGATGACATAGGAAGATCTAGGCCTAATAAAGCAAAATAGGCATTCTAGGACGAGGGCAGTAAAGTTGTGCGCCACACGCTAAACACCATAGCAAGAGGATTCTCTAGGAGCAGGGAGACTAGTTTCCCCCATAAAAGGTATGCTCGGCAAATACTGAATATATAATACCTCCCTGACATCGAAGGCATAACCTAGACGTTAGAAGCCACAATTTCCTTCACTAAGAAAGATACAGTTGACATCCACCCTCACAACGATGATCCCATGGTCATTATCGTAAGATGCGATGAATGAGATATCAAAATAGTTCTTGTAGACTAGAGGAATTATGCATATATTTTGTACTAGGAGGTGTTTGAAAGACTTCGCCTCAACCTGGAGGACTCGAAACCCTTAAAATGTTCCTTGGTTGGATTATTTGGAGAATAGGCACAAGTAAAAGGATACATCACCTTGAAGACCATGTTTGGAGAGCAGAATCAAGCCAAAGAAATAAAGTTCAAGTATTTGGTTATTGATGCCCCATCTTCCTACAATATGATTATAGGGCGACCAACTTTTAACTAGCTGGGCGCCGCCTTGTCCACTCGGTATTTATGCATGAAGTACTCGCTCTTAAATGGGCGATTGGGAGTTATCCAAGGAGATTAGTAGATCACCAGGAAATATTACGTAGAGAGCCTCAAGTTAAAAAAAGTCTGCATTGTAGACGAGAAAGCCAGGAAAGTGGGCTCAGGAATAAAGCCACCAGGAGAAACCTGCAACGGTGAGGAGTCTCCCCCTCCAATAACCAAAGAAATCCACGAGTGAAGGCCTACAAGGAATGCCCTTTAGAGACATCTTCATAATTGTCGTTTATTTATTTTTCTTTATTATTGTTTGGCTACTTTGTTGTTGATTTTTATAGGCGATTATTAAATCTCTGCCGATTATAAGGACACATTTATTTTGTGGGGGTGAACTTTTTCCCTTCACACTCTTCATAGGGAGAGGGTTTTTAATGAGGCCCCTCAATTTATTATTTTATAGAATTTGTGTTTGTTGGTTATTACCTTTTTGGAAGGAAATCCACAAGCTAGGGAAAAGATTGCCCCATAGAGGCAACCAAAATGCGAAATACCTAAGTGAGATTTTTGCCGCACATGAAGGAGATCAAAAAAATTGATACCTAAGTGGAACCCTTGCAGCCCATAGAGACTATCAAAATGTTGAACCTCTAAGTGGGATCCTTGCCGCCTATAGAGGAGATCAAAATCTTGGACCCCTAAGTGGGATCCTTTCTGCCCATAGAG